AGCCAATTGCAAAAAAAAAAAAAGATTAATAGACAATTTCCATGTAATACAAAGTCAAACGAACACTAAATTTTGATGAAAAAAATGATTTTTTAGGAAATAATTTTATTTTTTTTTACTTTTTGGCAATGGAAACAAATTTTATAACTAATTGTGAAAAAAATATCACTTTAATAGACAATTTTCATGTAAAACAAAGTCAAACGTATACAAAATTTTAAAAAAAATTGGGTGAAAAATTATACCAAGTAAACATATTTAATTAACAATTCCCTGCAAAATAATTGTTAAACAATTATTTTTCCTGAAATTCATTTTCTTTCCACTCATTTTCCACCATTACAACCAAACGGACCCTAACATCGTCAAATGAGAATTTTGTAGATTCGACAAAAAATTTCACCATCAATTGCCAATTATATACTATTATGATATTCAGGGGCGGACGCAGTAAGGAAGTTTGGTGGGGGCGAAATTAAAAAAAAAATTGGAAAATAATCTGAAAACCTAAAAAACCCCGGACAAAAATACAAAAAAAATTTGAAAATTAAAAAAAAAAAAATCGGGAAATCTGAAAATTGAGTGGGTGATACGGCCCCCACTGGTCCTTAAGTAGGTTCGCCCCTGATGATATTATAACCTCTTAATTTTTCAATTTACGGGGAAGATTAACACGAATACGCGGTTTAATTAACAAGTCTAATTTGTATAATTTTCAATTGGGTAAAAAATATTGATAGCCGTTCAAATCTCGACACAATTTTTTTTTTTAAGTCCTCAATTTTTTTTCTACTTTTAACTTCATCGTTTAATATTACATTTTTAATTACATCATTGAATCACCTTCTATTGTTGAAATTAATGAATTGTCTGCATGGTGAATTGCCCACTCTTTTTTAATTTCTTTATACATCAGGCGTCGCGTTGAACAATCCATTAATCTTATTGATCAAATTTGACTTGGTGATGCAACTCAACTTAAAAATAATAATAATAATAATAAATAAATAAATAAATTGAGAGATAAGTTAAAAGAAATTCAATAACTAAAATGAAAACTTCTTTGAGAGCAAGGGCATCAGTGACCTTTTTCACACCCTTCTAAAATTAAAAATTTTAATATGGAAACTACTCTAGTGAGATAGTTCGGTTTGGGCGATTTTAGTTTACTTTAGCAACAGTTCGATAAAATCATAAATCATAAATCATTCTATCGTCCGAAACAAAATGCAAATAGCAGTTTGAGTTAGTTTTAAACGGCGAAGATTGGATATAGTAGCTAAAATAACAACTAAATAATAAATTTTAGCTATAGTGGCTTTTATTCAATAAGTTTGGATAAATAACTCAAAAGGAGCTCCTGACTCACTATTTTTGAGTGGAGAAATAGAATAAGAGTCTTACCTTTCCATGTAACTCTGAGTTTCCGTCCCACTATTTTTGAGCGGAGAAATAGAATAAGACTCAACCTTTCCATGTAACTCTGAGTTCACGTCCCACTATTTCAGAAGGAAATAGATTAGAAGCGAACGAATTCTAAGCTATTGGGTTTCCTTGTCTTGACCTTGAATTCCTTAACTGAGTCATGGAGCTAAAGCTATAGAATTAAAACTCGAGGATCTTCAATAGAAGAATAGACACTATGGAAGCTCCTTTATTTCTTCTATCCAGAAGTATGGGTCTTGTAGGCCCTGTTCTCTTTATCGTTTTTAAACCGTTTTCTATTTTGTGTTTTGAATTTAGAATTCATTTTGTATTTTCTGTTTTGAGTGTCTATTTTGGAATTACTGAAAACTCGTTCTCTTTCTCTTTCTCATTCTGAAAAACTGTTTCTCAAGATAGAAAACTTGAAAACGCGTTTACTTTGAGATTTTGAGAATCTTTTTTTATAATTTTTTATTCAATAAATTTTAATAGTTTAATGTTAATATAGTATTAAATAACATATAAATTTTGAAGTTGGTTAATCTTGAAATATTCTTTTCCATATATAAAAAACACAACCTAAATTAAATTTGACAAATCCTTATTTTTCTACTTGTACGTAACTTGTGACAAGTATTAACTAGCTTCAAGTCACAACCAAACCTAATTAAGTTGCAAAAAAGGGAGCACTAATCTCATGTTGATGTGTTAATAAATATTTTGAAAGTTAAGAAATATGTTTTTCGCCACTAAAAAGTATTTTTTATTGTGATATAAAGTTACTCTTCTAGCAAGTTTTGTTGGTAAAAAAAGTAACTTGAAGAAACATGTTCGAAAAAAATGACTTAATTTTAAGCATATGCCCAATAAATTCCACTTGTGGATTGAAGTTGTAAAAAGAAAATAATGACAATACAAATAATGGCTTCACAAATCAAATCTGGTTCTAGCAAGATACCACATTATATATAGTACTCAAAAACAAATTTATTAAGGGGGGAGAACTAGAATCCATCTACATTTACCATCAGTACATATCAATAGCTAACTTATGGCCTGGAAATTGCCACACACACATAAAGCTCAAAACTAAGAAACTCTGCCGTAGTCCAACAACCATTTCATACCAAGAAACAAACAGCAATCTCGAGCTAAATGCCCGCGTCTAGGCTGCTCTTGACTGACCAGCACGAGAAGAGAGAATAATGCCGACAATAAGACCATAAAGAGCCAAAGCTTCGGCAAAAATGAGAATAAGAATCATTCCAACAAAAAGCTTTGGCTGTTGTGCGTTGGCTCTGTAGAAGAGAGGAATAAAGTCAAGTAATTAATATGATATTATGATGTCTACTAAAGAAATGATCACATAATAAAAAAAATAATGAAGCCAATAATTTCTTGAAATACTTGAAGCAGACAATGCATCAAATTATAGCTAAGAAGGAACCCACACGGAAGGGGAATTTTTATACCATATGTATAACATACCAATTTCTCTCCCGTTAAGGCTTAATACCTGGCACGCGAATTAGGTCTGGGTTATGCCCGTCTCTTTATATTATTGATGCACCACAAAATGCCACTTGTATTAAACTATCCTTAGAAAAAGGAGGGCTGAGGGGGAATATGCATAGTGGACCACATTGTTTACGTAGGCAATTCTCCATGAAATTTGAATTCCAAATCCTTAAAAGTGACTGCCGAAATTGGAATGGCACTATTTATTTTATAACAATCTCTGACCAAAACTAAGAGATTTAATTGGTATCAAAGCTAAATACTCCTCATATGACATGGAAGATGACCTCTAATTCTTTTCAATCATGGCAATGAGGCAAGATTTAATCACAACAGCAGAAATACAATATTTTTACAATTACACATCCAAAGAATAATCTAAAACACAAGAAAATGCAGAATTTGTAATGAATGATCTCAAGGAATAAAACAAAGAGATTCGCACAATGAGAATGGAGATATACCATTCCTCCTGATAAATCATCAGATCCACTATCCTCCGAATCATCTTCTTCGTCATCAGATTCAGGGGCTTCTTCTTTCTTAGTTTCAGTCTTGGCATCAGTAGCCTTATCTTTTGTAGGTTTTAAGTCCTCAACGTTGAGCTGGGGAGTTTACTCGATAAGTCGACAAACTTCAATGGTAACTTCTCGTATTACACATCTGATGTTTATATACAGTAAAAGATCTATAGTAACATTAAATGTATTGAGACAGTCTAAAGTAATGAATAGAAAAGGAAATCAAAAATCATTCAATTAAATATCTTACATCACTTTTATGACATAACAAATCCTTAACGAAGAATTTCAAAGGTCCATAAAGCAGATGCGCACATTTGAAATTTTTCATGCAACTTTTGGTACTCTCACCATCAAAACTGATATAGACATCTTCAGAATTGCGAATACCCCATCCATATCATTTCTCCAAACAAAAATCCCTCATATTCATTATTAGCTTTATTGGCAGACGAATTCGTAAGATGAGGACATGACGTTTAATCTGAATCATCTCTCAATAAATGATCAAAAAGCCATATTGCAGTCATAATGAGATCCCACAAAGAAAAACTCTATGTTTCCAAGTCATATATTAGTTAAATAAAATGTTATAAGCAACTATAATGCCTTAGTTAGCCTCTTGGGAATGCCTGATATCCGGTTCATTTTTTAGACAATTACAGGAACAAATACTCATACATGAGAAGTAAATAAGTAGTGAGTTGAAAACCACAATGCCTGATGCACATCTCTTTCCACCTTTACTTCCCAAATTCAATAAATTTCTCATTTTCTCATCGAATGCAGAGATAGCATTTAGTTCTCATTACCTCATTACTCTCAATTGAAACCAGGATTCTATTTTAGTAAAAATATTAAAACAGTCACAAGAATTCAAGCTCAAGAATGTCCACACATCCATCTTTAAGCTCAAAAATCCATTTTAACTGCAATATACTCTTACCCATCGTAACACAAGCTCAATGTGCAATCTCTATCACATAAATAAAATAAAAAATCAAAAAAATCAAGCAGTCAACCGTGTATTTTAATACTCAAGTTTAACAATAATCAACCCATACCCAGAAAGTCAAATTACGAGCATTACCTTCCCCGAGTGCCAATACTAATCATAGCAGCCTTAGTTTAAGTCTGCTATTCAACAGCAACAGAGTCCCTAATGACCAGATTTCTTTTCCGTTGGCTATAAAGTGGAGATTTAAGGCATGGCAAAGAGATCCCAAGTGCAGAAACTGAGCGACTAGCAAAAGCTCTTGTGTTTACACGGAAAGGGGAGTCACAGCGGCGCTACCGATTACCAGCAAGTTTTGTGCGACGTAATCGTGGTCTTCATAATAGAAAATCACTGTTTAGAGGATTGGAAAGTGGCTGCTCCATTCTTTTGGCGGAAGAAGGAACGGGAGAAGAAGGAACGGTGGTGGGTTGGGAAAGGAAACGGCCGTTTCCCGTGTTTTGGAGTTTTTCATGGGATTGGCTTGGAAACGGCAAAAACGAGGTTTTTGTCATTTTGTGTTTTGTGTACATTTTTTTTTGTTTTTCAAAATGCGTTTCCAAAAATATGGAAGAGAACTCGTTTTCGTCGTTTTGGAAAATCGAAAACAGAAAACGGCTTGAAAACGACAAAGAGAACATGACCTAAAATTTTGGAATCCATCTAGTTTCAGATGGAACTCGTCAGATGACAAATATTAAGCACCACTGTGGATGATTTTTTTTCCCCCTTCTATATGTCCAATCACACGACGACATGTGTATTCCGTAAAACTCTTATGTACGTATAGCTTGGTTTTATTACTTTTAAATATAGCTTTTTACTCATGAGTATGTGATATTGGAAAATAATAATTAAAAAATAATTTGAAGTTACAAACAATTTTTATCTAGTAATATTAAAATATATACTTCATGAATTAATTTTACCATCGTCAATAAATAAAGAAAATGAGAAAACAAAATAAGGGCTTAAAAATTTCAACAACAACAACAGAGTCCTTAATGACCAGATTTCTTTTCCGGTGGCTATAAAGTGGAGATTTAAGGCATGGCAAAGAGAGCCCAAGTGCAGAAACTGAGCGACCAGCAAAAGCTCTTGTGATTACACGGAAAGGGGAGTCACAGCGGCGCTGCCGATTACCAACAAGTTTTGTGCAACGTAATCGTGGTCTTCACCATAGCAAATCACTGTTTAGAGGATTGGAAAGTGGCTGCTCCATTCTTTTGGCGGAAGAAGGAACGGTGATGGGTTGGGAAAGGAAACGACTGTTTCCCGTGTTTTGGAGTTTTTCATGGGATTGGCTTGGAAACAGCAAAAATGAGGTTTTTGACATTTTGTGTTTTGTGTGCATTTTTTTTTTGTTTTTCAAAATGCATTTTCAAAAATATGGAAGAGAACGCGTTTTCGTTGTTTTGAAAAATCGAAAACAGAAAACGGCTTGAAAACGACAAAGAGAACAGGACCTAAAGTTTTGGAATCCATCTAGTTTCAGATGGAACTCGTCAGATGACAAATATTAAGCACCACTGTGGATGATCTTTTTTTCCCCTTCTATATGTCCAATCACACGACGACATGTGTATTCCGTAAAACTCTTATGTACGTATAGCTTGGTTCTATTACTTTTAAATATAGCTTTTTACTCATGAGTATGTGATATTGGAAAATAATAATTAAAAAATAATTTGAAGTTACAAACAATTTTTATCTAGTAATATTAAAACATATATTTCATGAATTAATTTTACCATCGTCAATAAATAAAGAAAATGACAAAACAAAATAAGGGCTTAAAAATTACTTACTTGTTGGTAATATTATAACTTTTGTTAATATTATTTTTTTAAATGGCCTCTTTAGAGACTTTTTGTTTTGTTCAAACCAAAATTAGTGAAGAGTCATTGGACACATTAGTTAATTGGGTGATAATTAACTAGTAATTAGGTTTGAAATAGGTAATTAATACACAATATCCCAATCGTTTTCACTCATTGTGCAAATCATTCTTATCGCTTTAATTTTGTCATTTGCACCATTATTTCGCCCTTTTTTGCGGAGTTAGTCATTTCCGTCTCATTCCTTCAATTTCTTTAGTCAAATACGGGTGATTAGTGTAAAAAGCCCCTATCGTTTGCTTTCACTGCTCAAAACATTCATATAATTTCAATTTTAACATTTGGGACTTTTCTTTGCACAAAAAAGGTTATCATTATCTATTTTTCCATTAAAGTATTGTAAAACAATTAATTGACCCTCATCTTTGATAAACAAGTAGAGAAAAATAAATAATATAAAAATAATTGCAGTCAAAGTCCTAAATTTTTTAAATAGTGAAAACGAATCCTGCTTAAAATAATTTAAAACAAATTAATAAAAAAAAGAAAAAAAGGATTTATTTTCCTTTTAGCTAGATTTGGATTAAAACAGTTAGAATTGTGATTTGAATTAAAATCTTATATAAACTCTTTAATAGAAGAAGAAATGAAATCATCTTTAAACATTATATTGTTAGGCAAAATAAACTTGAATAAAATAAGAACAAAATTCAGAAGCTGGTGGGTATGTGTATATATAATTAACAAGAAGAAGATCGAACTAATAATTTGCTGAAAATACCTAAATCTTTAAAAAACTCTCGTAACTTTGATAAAAATAAAATGATATTGGAATACGAAACTTGATAAAAAATTTTAATTATTTTCTTACTTTTTTATACTTTTAATTATTTTGGTAGTGGCGGTAGAGTGTAAATAGCGAGGGTAGGGGTATGTGTGGATAATTGGTAAGATAAAATATTTTTTCTTTTATTAAGATGTTTTAAATTATTTTACGTGATACTCATTTATACGTTTTTAAAAATTCGGTACTCTAGCTTTAACTTTTTTATATTCGTTCTTTCTTTTTTATTTCTTTATTTAAAGAGTATATTGATTTAATCAATTAAATGTTATAAAAAATGGTGAAAATAGTAAGGACTATTTGTATAAATAAAAATCGATCTAAGAATTCAAATGTCAAAATTGAAACGGTTTAGTGGTGGCAATCGAGTCGAGTGGCTCGTCACCTTGGCTGGCTCGGCTCGTACTGTAGCGACCCGCGAGCCTTTTGATGAGCCTGAGCACGAGTCGAGCGGGCCGCTTGCTAGACGAGCCAAGCCCACCTTGGCTCGTTAAGGAGACGGGTGCTTGTGGGCACCCGCCTCGTGAACAAACCATTAAAAAAAAAAGGCTAAGAAAAGCTTAAAAAAAAAAAAAAAAATTTAACGAGTCAGCTCGGCTCATGAGCTCGTGGGCCGAGTCGAGCTCGTCCACGAGCAAACGAGCCACGAGCCTGTTCGACTCATGAGCTCGTGGCTCGTTTCTCCATGAGCCGAGCCGAGCTCGTGGCTTTAAGGGTCGAGCCGGTTCGGCCCATTGACATCACTAAAACGGTTGAGATGTTTAACGTCAATTATCCATATTTGACAGATGAAGTTGACAGAATGAGACACAAAAGATCGACTCCAAAAAAATGTTGAAACAAGGGTGCAAATGCTAAGTATGGAAGAACAGAGACGATTTATTTAATAAGTTCAAATGATGAGAACGTTTTGTGCTAATTCTCGAGGTTAAATCCCACGTGTAACACAAATATATTGTCAAACCTACTTCTCTTTTACTAATCAATCCCCAACGCTCACATTCCATATGATCTCTCTTTCTCTCTCTTATCATTTTTGCTTTTGCTCTCTCTTTATCTCTCTAATCCCTCAATCTTCGCTCATTTGTCTCTCCCATTATTATTTTTTTAATATTTGTCGTAATTCGACAAGACTCTCATTTTGAAAGCATTAAACGAAAAGCAATTATATATAGAGTATTGTAGTCGATATCTGTTCATATATTGTTTGCCTTTTGTTCTGTTTTCGTTTCATTTGATCAGTGAGGATCTATTATGATCTAGTAGTTAGACCAGTAGTTAGGGTTTCCGTTTAAGCTTTATGTTGATTATTATTTCAAGAACGTAGCTTAAGAATCAAAAAAAATTCTTGATAGTTTTTTCGGTACTGATTTCTTGGATTCGTTTTGTGGGTAGTGATTCGGTAAGTTTTCTTGATTCTGTTTGGGAGGTTGACAGTAATTATCTAGTGAGCTCTGGGTATTATTGAAATTGGAAATTAAGCTCCTGGGAGATGTGGGTATTATTGAAATTGTGAAGTATTCATTGAGGAGTGGTTGCTGTCCAATTGTATTGAATTAAGTATCATGGATCATATTGTGGGTGGAAAATTTAAGCTTGGTAGGAAAATTGGAAGTGGTTCATTCGGTGAACTCTATTTAGGTACGTTTTATTTAGACTTTGTAATCAGTCCTTTTTTGCCCTTTTATTTGTTCTTCCCTGTGGATATCCTTGGAGGTGAATTTTCCTCATGTTATCCTGAAAAAATCTGTTGACTCTATTAATGTAGGTGTCAATATTCAAAATGGAGAAGAAGTTGCCATCAAGCTGGTATGCACGTCTTTACTTTTGTTCTTTTTGTTATATGAAGTTCTGGGTGTAATTCTTTGATTAATTGATGGGCTATTTTAATTATGTAATAAACTTTAATATTATTTGGTTAATTACTAAAATCACCTTTTGGAGGGAAAGGATGGATTGTTAGTGTGGACAATTTAGAAGATATAATCAGAAGACATGTTCGGCTATGTTCCATTTTTATACTTGGTGGAACCTGTCTATTTTAACCAAACCCTTTGCTTGGTATTGCCGCGCTTTTGTATAATCTGGGGAGGTTTACTTATTTTGATGTGATTTTCTTGAGATGCTTCCGTGGATCTGCAATGCTTACTGATTCATTTTGTTATCCATAATGCTGAATGATAGGGTTTGAAAGCTAAGTGCCATATGTTGTTTCATGTGAGTTGCAAATAATGTGGACTAAACAAGAAATATAGAATTGCAGAACTCTTTCAGTTCAATCCTTTTTCAAGTAGAAATAACCAAGATAAGTGTTTGCTAATGTAATCCTAAAAGCATTTTTTTTCTTTATGAAACTGAATTAGCATTTGTTTTAATGATGTATGCTACTAGGTTACTTTGTAATTTGGAAGTAAATAGTTTCATTAATAATCACTTCATGAATTGATGTATGCTAATTGCTGTCTGTTGTTTCATATGCATTAGCAAGATAGAGAGTTTGATAAAATGTGGACTAAACAAGGAACATAGAACTATAAAACTCTTAGTTTGGTCCTTTTCGAGGAGAATCAACTGTGTTTGCTTCCATGATATCGAAGTGTTAGCTGATGTAATCCTAACTGAATTAGCATTTGTTTATATNCATTGAAGTGTTAGCTAATGTAATACTAAAGCAATTTTTCCTTGACAAACTGAATTAGCATTTGTTTATATATATAGAGGATCAGTCATGGCACTTTATGCGAAGATTTACTGAAGTAGTATAACGTTGTATGCTACTATATCCTTTTGTAATTCGCAATAGTTTTGAGGAAGACGATAGAATTAATGTTATTTTTCAGCACATTTTTATGATTCTTACACAATTTTATTGTAACTACTGCAACCACCAGGAATCTGTGAAGACCACGCATCCTCAACTTCACTATGAATCAAAAATTTATATATTTCTCCAAGGTGGAAGTAAGTCTCTCTCTCTCTCTCTCTCTCTCTCTCTCTCTCATATGCATGCATTCCAAAAAAAAGTTGGTATATACGTAGGTGGAGATGTTGCATTTTGATTGAATATAATTTCTTTAATATAATGCTCTAAGAGACGGTTTCCAGAAAATTCTATTTCAAAGTTTCGAATTGGGCACTGCTTTTTCTGACGTTTGTTCATCAGTTATATATTTTCTTAGGAATCAATTTGAAAACTAAATGAAAATTACATAATAGCTTGCTTTTATTGCTTTACAGTATAAAAATGTTATGATTATCAAATCCAGTGTTTCCCCTTGAAAGAGGAGATTAAATTTGAAAATTAAATTAAAATAGCTATAAGCAAATCCACTTCTTCCCCTTAAAAGAAGGGGGATGGCAAATTCCCTGGTCCCTGCCCCTCCTCGCCGTGCATTGTCCCTACCCGAATGTGGTGGGGAATCCTTGCTGCAAATAGTAAACTGAGCAGGGATGGGGATCATGGTCCTTGCCCCGAATTCAGTAAAGCCGCCCTAAATTGTTTTATTTTATTTTACTTTTATGGTTTTCAATTTAAATCATATTTTAAAATATAGAAAATAATATTTTCTCTTTTGTTTTATCATTTTAGGTGAGTTTTAACCTTTTGGCGATCCATTTCACTATGTATTCATATAATGGTTCACATTATCTGAATCGTTAGTAACAATGTCTGTTGGCATTTCTTCTTGTAGCGGGCATTCCCAACCTGAAATGGTTTGGAAGTGAGGGAGAGTACAATGTCATGGTTATCGACCTTCTTGGACCAAGTCTGGAAGATCTCTTCAACTATTGCAACAGGAAGTTCTCCTTGAAAACAGTACTAATGCTTGCAGATCAATTAGTGAGTAGTTACAATTTGATGAAGTCCTACCTAAAGCTTTTAATTTTAGTTTTTATTAAGTAACTTGTGATTCTCTTTAGATTAATAGAGTGGAATACATGCATTCAAGAGGGTTTCTTCACCGTGATATAAAGCCCGATAACTTTTTGATGGGCTTAGGGCGCAAAGCAAATCAGGTATGTTTTTCCGTGGTTTTTAGGCTTGGTGCTATGGTTAGGATTTCTGAGCACGCTCTAGGTGGTTTATTAAGTGTTTTGCATATAAGTTTATGGATTAGAGTATATTCCTGTTGATGCTTGTTAATTTGCTGCATGCTAATTGGTTATATATATTTTTTAATCTTTGTTAACTCGCTTCTACTTGTTACATGGCCTCAAATCATGATTTCCTTGTAGCCTTGTGGTACTACTCTTGCAGGAAACAAACAAATAAATCATATATTTTTGAGAGATCCATCTTCGTTTCCTTTAAAAAGCCTCCAAATCCTGTTGTATAGTCCACTGTTTATGTGTGTGTGTGTGAGAGAGAAAGAGAGAGAGAGTAATACGGATGTTGTACTTATATAATTTCTTTCTTTGTACATTTGACATCCTAAACATTTCTCCTGCATAGACTAACTGTAATTACTAAACCTTTTCAAATCTCATTTCTTTCTTTGTACATTTGACATCCTAAACATATCTCCTGCATAGACTAACAGTAACTATTAAGAATTTAGTTTATTTAAAGGATTCAGCAGGTAAAGGCTTAAATTGTTGATGTTGTTAGCTTGCTCCCATGTGCTTGGACTATAAGATCATGCACTAGGTGGTTATCAAGTAGAGAGAATGATGAGTGTTAGATCATAGGAATATTTAGTTAGGAATCTGGTGGTGACGAACAATTCTGAGTTAGGGTTGAGACGGATGCACTCTTCCATTTTGTTATTACTGGATGAGGTTGTATTATCATTTTCTAAATTTATTGCGTTGCTGGGATTCTTTTGTAGTTTTCTTTAGTTTTTAAATTATTGCTTTATGTATTCTTTTCTCAAAGGTAAAAATTGTGCTTTCATGTACTTGGGACGTCAAATATTAATCATGTAACATTTCTTCAAGCATGAGGTTGAGTAGCAGTTTTAGTAAATGTTTAGTATTATTGCAGGTTTACGCCATTGACTTTGGTCTTGCCAAAAAATATAGGGACCTCCAAACTCATAAGCACATACCCTACAGGTTTCTTCCCAATATTTCTTAAAGTTTCTTGCAGCGTTCTCTTTGCATGTTTGCCTTTTATTCAATTGTGTTTCTACTGTATTATGTTCTTCTTTTTGTTTTTCTAGAAAATCTCCATTTTCGAACTCTTTATGTCGTACATTTGGAGATACCAGCTTCAATATTTGTACTGGGCAAGGTGATAGTTGTTTGTTTGTGAAAAAAATGGAAATATTAGCGTACCAAGATCACCATTCAGGTAGGAATCAGGGTCATTTAGGATCTTCAACCGTGTAAGATTTGAGGAAGCTGTTCATAAGAGTGATGTAATCCCAATAAATCAAAGAGTAGAGGGAGAGGTATACTTAAAGTTAACATGGGTTGATGCCATTGCAAATGATCCAAGTTTAATGGATCTTCTTGTAGATTTATTCACTGGATTGATCGGAACACTCTGAAAGAATTCATATAGCCAACTTTAATTCAAATAAGACGTAGATTGCTGATCCCTAGATCGCACAAACATGATCTGTGTGACTTCATATAAATAGAGCTAGGTTTGTAAATATAGTCCACTCTTTGTCGTCATGTACTTATGGTGGAACCTTTTTGACCCTGTTCAGGGAAAACAAGAATCTTACAGGTACTGCTCGTTATGCCAGTGTCAGCACACACCTTGGCGTTGGTGAGTGATGTGCCATCTCATCATAAGTTGTTTTTGATTAGGGAGGTAGGCTTGTTAGATTTTGGAAAAATCTAAATAGCTAATCATATACATATTTAACTATGCTTGCAGAACAAAGCCGAAGGGATGACTTGGAATCTCTTGGTTATGTCCTTATGTATTTCCTGAGAGGAAGGTTTGATATGAGAAATGTCTCCTGTTATTTTTCTGGGCATTCCCCTACCTCGTTTTGAATTTTTATTTGAATATAGAATGTTACATTTCCTAATAGTTTCAGTGCTTTCTTTCCGTCTCAGTCTTCCCTGGCAGGGGTTGAAAGCAGGCACCAAGAAGCAGAAATATGACAAGATTAGTGAAAAGAAGATGTTAACCCCTATAGAGGTATATATTTGGTTTCATTTTTGCATAGCTTATGTAGGCAATTGTGTCTGGTTTTCAAGTTCATGTTTTCGTAGTATGACTGATATGCTGCATTGAGGATCTAACTTTGGAGTAGCTGTTTTGAATTGAGGATCTAACTTAGGAATAGCCATTTTGAAGCTTAATATGCCCTTGTTTGTGCCCCATTTTGGGGAAAGAATGCATTTTGGAATAGTTGATTGATGGAGAATGCGTGATTAAAAAATAAGGAAAAGTTTTGGATTTGCGTGTAATATTATTTTTTTGGAGAATGTGTGGTTGAAAATGAGTGTTGAAAAAACATATTTTTAGAAGAAATGGGGCTCAAACAAGGGCTATATTTCTCATGCACTTGATCACAGGCTGATTGGTACTCGAAGTACATGACCTTTTCCTTATTCTTTGAAATTCTTCATAAGATTTATCCCAATATTGCTCTAAGTTTTACGCTAATATTTTGAAGTATTGGGTTGCGGTTCAATTGTCTACTCATCTTACCCTAATTTGTTGACCATTTTGTTATGTTACTTTAGTGATGACACTTGCAGAAAGTTCACGTGATTTGCAATTATTTACAGATGCTGTGCAAATCATATCCATCAGAGTTTGTATCATATTTTCATTATTGTCGATCATTAAGATTCGAGGACAAGCCAGATTATTCGTATTTGAAGAGGCTTTTCCGAGATTTATTTATTCGTGAAGGTAATGAATTCTAAACGACATGATTTTATTTTACAGTCATCATGGTAAGATTGAATATTAATAGATTAAAAATCTCCAATACTCCCATCTGTATACAGTGGAGGAAATGAGCATTTGATTTAACTTATTTACTTTTACCTTCAATTAATGAACATGAATATGGTTGTCGTGTCTTGTGCTTTTTGTATGGGCGTTTTTGGAAAGTGAATAAATTGGTAAGGGGATACTACTGTAAATAATCACACTAAACATGTTGTCTCTAGCATTGACATTGGTAAGTACAATACATTGTTTTATCCAGCATTCCCTTCGTCCACCTTGGGGGGTTAAAAGACATTAAACTTTCTATTGCAGATGATCAATTTCCTTTTCCTTTCTTCCAACATCTATGAGTTTAAGTCTCACCTTGAACGGGAAAATATTTACCACAAGTAGGGTCTAGAGATTTAATATCTTCAAATTCAAGCACCATTAGATTAACTTGACGATGAATATAAAGAAACATGACTTATCTAGTAGTAATTGAAATATTCAACTGTTGATGGTGTAGATCCGTTGCCAACAGTTCTACCCGCTCTAAATTGAATCATCCACTTTCCACTTTAATCTGACCATCCAATTTGGTGGTTGTATTTCCAATGAGTTATGAGTTTGCTTGTTAGTCTCGCGGAGGCCAACTTGAAGTGGTAAGTCATAGTATTCGTGAGTGTATTCATCAACTCTAAGATCATGTTCATGCAATCTAGGGTATTGTTCATATAAAATAATGTATTGAGTAGGCCAAATTTGCTATCTTATTTTTGACTTAATTAATTCCCAATTGTGAATATTCGGTTTTCATACTCTAGTCCATTACTATCTAATCATTTCAACCGTTGTAGCATATTCCTTGTAAGTTCATCTTCACAAAGTATTTTCCGTTCTTCCCGCGTCAGCTTCTGTTTGAAATAATTCTCTAAGCTTGCTTCCCAATAAAGGAAGTCTTCTGTGTACATTCTTCCATGGAAATGTGAAACTCCAATTTGGATCCTTTGAATTGATATCATGAGTTCTTGAATCTTCTATCTCAGTACAGGATTATGGAATGGGTCAACTTTCTCCTCAAAATGTCACGCTCATCCTCCTGTTGATAGGTCCACTGTTTTGCAGTTTCCTTTTGGTACTTTGAGCTTTTACACAATCTCTATAGAAATATTCAATCTTTGAAGAAGTTGCTCTATTCTCCTTTCCATCTTTTGGATCTTTTGAGGAACGAATGGCTGTTCCAATTTGTACCAAGGCACTTTAGCTCTTCGAGACAAGGTGCAAATCTCAACACAAACCAATGGAATAGTTTAATGTAAGAACATTTATACTAAAAACATAAACTAACTTGGAAATCTGCAATAAAACAATTTAGCAAAATCAGAAGTCAAACTTGCAAACAAACGTAAAATAGATGTATAAAGTAGAACATAGTAAACCTTCAAATTAGTAATCACCTGATAAATTGTAATCTACTATTAGTACTAAACAAGGCTAAAAGTCTTTCTCATCATTGCTGCTAATACGATTTTTGAGAGAATAATCAACAATTTGATTTTATGTCATGCTTGTTGCTTTTCATTTTTTTCTCATTATCCACTTACAATGGTGTTTCTTCTCGTCTTTATATAAGGAAAAATAACAAACACAGAGACAAAAAAAATGCGAAAGGAAGGAAACATTGAAATTACGTGTCTTGTCACGTTGAGGACGATAAGTTGTAATTTCACTTGGTAGACGGGATTATTGTTGGGATTTTCTTCAAAATATGCCACTAGATAATCGAAGAATATTGGTCCAAGAAGGATTTGGAAAAAAATTTACTCTTGTTCATGTGTCGTATACCTACATTATAATGAATGCTGAGAATTTTTTTTTTATGGTAGTACTGGAAACATTATAGTTTATAGCTAATTTACAACCATTACCAGACTTATTAATTACTAATTACTTAATATGACTGTAATTTTTATCCTCAAGTCTTATGATTTTCAAAGATTTTTTTTTTAAAATCAAAATTTCGTGTTCTTGGCTCACCAAGTACATCAAGTATCTTTCTCCCGTGGTCTGCATCCTGACTTGGATACTGGCACAGGTTATCAATTTGACTATGTTTTTGACTGGACTGTATTGAAGTACCCTCAGATTGGTGCCAGTTCTAGAGCACGAGTAAGTGCTTGGTGTAATTATCTGTTTGCTTCATCTTCTTTGATATATGATTTACTAATTCATGGCTTTGCTTCCAGAATCCCAGTGGGAGTGCAGGGTTAAATGCTGGACCTTCTGGTGAAAGACCGGGGAGAACATCAGGTGAAATACCACCGGGCACTTAAGAGTTTACATTTTGACTTGTGAAATTGTAATGCAAGACTATAGTGCCTATGGACTTTCACCCTGTTGTAATACTGCTTTTTGTCTGCTTTTGCAGAATTCCAATTTCTGAGCTGATTGCAATGATGCCTTAATTAACATATTCAGTTTCCCCTGGAAATTCCAATATGACTGATTACTTGACTCTTTTGATTTCATTGTTCTCAGTGGGGCGAGATATTCGAGATAGATTCTCAGGTGCCGTTGAGGCTTTTTCCAGAAGACATGCTTCAGGTTCAGGTCACAGACATAGGACATCAGAAGATGTACCTTCATCAAAGGATGTGGTATTTGTTCTTCCTCCTTTCCCATTAGAAACTAGGAGTTGCTCTAATTGTACTTGTGGTTCTCTCTCTTATCACCCCCTTCAACCTCCCTCACCCAACCGGGCCAACCCCCACCCAACAAACTCCCAGTACTCTCTCTCTGTTTTAGTTTATTTTTCCTTTCTTTCGAGTGGGACTATGCTCAGAGTGGTTTGAATTGGAGGTTGCTAGAGAGTAAAATTTGCTTATGCCCTCTACCTGGAAGATAAGATGTAAGATATTTCTTGTTTTCGTCAGACCTAGAATTTAAGATTGGGAAATATTTGTGTTTCAAGTTGTTCTTGTGGGATAGGAAAATAATCATGTCGTCTGTTACGCTTGTACTTTGTGCTTGACATTTCATTTTCATTTGTAGCATTCGGACCTTCATGCAAGCTATTGGAGAACTATGTCGTTCTCATGTTATTTTACTTAATACATTTTTATGGTTCCTTGTATGTAGCAACCGGATTCGGAAAGAGGTAGAACGTCTCGAAATGGCAGCTCTTCGAAAAGAGCTGCCATTTTAAGCAGCAGACCAAGCTCGTCTGGTGAACCCACTGATGGCCGATCAAGCAGATTGGTATCGAGCAGTGGCCGTTTGTCTACCTCAAAAAGAATTGGGATTGAACCCAAACTGCCATCCTTCTCTCGTGGTGCGGTGACCAAAGGTACTCGTAATGACCCTCTTCGAAGCTTCGAATTCCTCTCAATCAGGAAGTAAATGAACCAGTTCTTGTAAAAATGTGGACGAACGCCTTCTATTCAAGGAAATCTCTGCATCATCAAATTTGTGTAAAGGGAACAATGTGTCTTACACAACAATTAACGCTCATCTATGGTCGCGATTTTGTTTAGAGTTGTTGCCTTCGTACCGCATTCTGTACTCGTCCAAGAAAGGTTCGAGTTTTATGTGTCGGGAATTTTCTACTTTATACAAGACAAGGGTAGATGTAATATATGCATCGATGGATGTACATTACAAGTGCAATATTTGTGTTCCATTAAATTTCCTTGAAAGTTGCTTTCTTTTTTCATATCTTTAATATAAAGAAATTTTTATATTCAAAATCTTTCATTCGCTATTTGGATCTTTATCTGATGAAAACAAAATTTTGATCTCCACACCATTGAATTAGGGCATTTTGGTAATCCAATATTTATGATTGGACAACATAATCTGATAAGATTTTAATTTATTTTCTTGCTCAATGCTGTTTGGAATTGTACCCAAACACAAGGGTACAGGATTCGTTTTAATCATGGGTCCATTGCTCTGAACAATGGACTTCCAAGTTTACTGGATCGGGCTTTTGCACAGTGTCGAAAATTCTCCACTGATGTCGCCTCCGGGAGTCTGTCCGTGTCTCAGTCCCAGTACGACTGATCATCCAAATAAGCCTTTTCCATATGAAGCTTATAACTCTCATCCTTCTTATAGTTGGTCTTCTCAAGCATACTTCTCTGGTTGGATGATTCTTCTAAATTCCAACAAATATATTATCAAATTGCACGAGAAATGATATTTTTGCAACATCTGCTCGACCTCTAGTACTTCTACTCGACCAGGATCAAGATTAAACATTTTAAACATCAGTGCATTCAAAAATTTTACCGATTCAAGCGAGAATGATAGATTCTGTCATTCTAAAATGTAACTCTTGAAAAAGGTGATACAATTGAAAGTGTACAAAAAAAGGTGTAAAACAGCATATTTGTATGTTTCAATTTTCATTAAGTACGAACAGATAACCGTAAATGAGCAGAAACATAATTGAAATTTAATAAGAACTTGATAGATTCGCATGTCGATCACAACACGATCTTCCAAACACATCTGAAAAGGAAAAGGAAGGAACAATACGAGGTTGATGACCAATCGAGTATGTTAATGGAACTATGCACAAAAAGGGTGTATCTTGGGGAAATTCAAACTGCATGGAGAAGCAGCAATGGTCGACTAAGGACAATATTGACAATTCAGATTGCATGCAGCTCAAGGATTTCGGAGGGCAGCCAACCTCTTCTCCAGTTCGTCAATGCCCGAACTACAAGAAGTAAAATATATAAGAGAACATGTCTTACATGATCAACCAAACTAGAAGATACTGTAGAAAATGTAAATCCTGACAATACAATTGTTGAGACTGGAAAGCAGATATACAAAATATATAAAAGAAAACACGGCTCCCATGAGATAATGAAAATCGTGCATCTTAAAGTTTATTCTAGGATTATTATCAATAGACACTTGAAGAATAAAGCATTACCCTTCTACTGCAGAAAATGTGAACAAGAGGAAGATCAGATAGTAGAAAACAGAGATGTATACCCAAAACTTTGGTAGCAAATAATATTGTAGTAAAGAAAAGCTAAGTTTGCTTTAATTAATTCAAGAAACAACACATTATAGCTGTTTTTATGTTTCCGTCACTTTAATAAACCGACCTTAGAACTAGAGACATTTCAAAACCAATCGACCATTAACTCTTGGTTTCCAAAAAAACTGTAAACATGTGTGTGTGTGTGTGATTGTGCGAGAGAGACCAGGAGCGGACCGAGACCATTTTTTTGTGGAGTCAAAAATGAGAATTCACAAATGTTTAGGTTAAAAAAATAAAAATAAAAAAACTCAGTTTGTGGGGTCATTTGACCCCACGACCCCATGTGGGTCCGCCAGTGAGAGAGACAGAGAATACATAGGAAATGGGGAAAGTGTCAGCGTAGCGCCATCTAATTGTGCATTTTTTCTCCGCCATAAGATAGGGTGTCAAAATGTGCCGTGCCGCCCGATTCGGAACTGAGCAGTGCCGTGCGGAACCAGCTTTAGGGGCCATTGACCTGCATGGGCCTGCCCAGCACAAGTCATGCCAGTTTACGTCTCTAGACACCGCCAGTGCAAGGACAATAAGATCATTTACCAAAACTCAGTTTAAGCTATTGGTTTATTCTCACTTAAGACATCAGTACTTAACGTGAACGCCTCTAACTACAGTTAATGTAAGAGATGGTGCCATGAATTGCCATCTATGGAGCATGTATTAAGTCTGCAGCACTGTGCTGAGATTTATTCTTACAAGAAGAAAAAACACTACAGCAACATAATGACATGGGCATTTGTCTCTGAAAAACTATACCTTCCAACATCGTCAGCGTTCTTCCCAGCAATTTTTCCTTTGGGAGCGGTTGACAACTGTTAAGAACCCGAAAGGGAACACCAAATTAAATATAAGACATGAAACTTCTCACTGCGTCAAAGTAGAAGTTTCAAAAAAAACTAACCTGTGAGGCAATATCCACGCCAATTTCATCCAGCACCTGGAAACATCAGTTAAGCATAAACAAGTGAAATGTATTGCAAGGGAAAATGCCTGACACTTGACAATAAACACTTCGATTCTCAAATAATCTACATTCTTCGTAAAAATATAATTGTGGTCACTGGTCAGTTTTCAATTACCCTACACTACAGTGATCTGCATTGAAAATTCGATCCAGGTAGAAACCCATCCTGAGACAAACTCTACACGGCACCAGGCACGTATATCTTCGGTTACTATTTCCTAATGATCCTTCTAGGTTTAACATGAAGATCAAATAGAATATTTTGTAACTGCTGGAAATTCAGATTTCAGTGATGATGATGACACAAAGCAAAGTAACATTATGGACTTCTTGATTTTGATTATCTTATGATCTTGAGACACCAAAATAAACAATAATAATAATAATATTTTGTTAACTGTAGAAAATTCAGAGTTCAGTGATGATGATGACACAGAGCAAGTAACATTATGGACTCCTGGATTTTGATTATCTTATGATCTTGAGACACCAAAATAAACAATCATAATAATAATAATAAAAAGATAAGTATATATATATTTTTTCTTTATTGAAATTATGGCTTCTGAAAAGTAGTCAATCTGAACTCAATCCAGGAAAGAAATTCAAATTACGACCAACTCCCATTTAAATCAATAATTGGATTAACCAATCTTAGTGATTTAATTATCTAACAGGATTTGTACTTAACAAAACTTTAATTTCAGCATCTGGCCCGAAAAATTGTTTACCGGCAAGAATCATACCTGGTTTGTTAACTCTTCAGTTTCATCCTCAGCTTCATCATTATCCAAAGCATCATCTATGGCGTCTGACATCATTTCCGTCTACAAGGAAAATATGAAAGCCAGCTATTAACTCAAATAGGAAAATAAGTGTAATATCTTTTGAAATACAATGCCAAATATGTACTTACTGTCATATCCATTTGTGCAGATTGCTTCTGAAATTCTTGAATCACCTTTGCCTGCTTTGCAGGTTCCATTTGCTGCGATAAAGTCCAATTAATAAGAATAAAAATCATGAAGAGTAGAAGATGGAAAAATGTAATTACAATATGATGTTATCCTCAATACCATGATATGCTAATTACAAAACTAAATGACTCAAAACTCCATATCCCGTCGACCATTTAACTCAACATTTCAAGATAAGAATAAATTCCAAGTATTCCCTCAACCCCTCAACATTAAATAAAAATGAAAGAGGAATCTTAAAATAACAGATATGATCCCAAAACACGTAGTTTTGTCAGAAAAGATAGCAATTTCATGATCAAATAATAGATTTGTGCCTATTCAAAGAGAAAAAACCTTCTCTAGGTGCTATGATGCTCGGACTCGTATACGGATACGTATCAAAGTGTCGAATATTTTATTTTCTAAAATACAAGATACATGGATATGGCTAAAAATAGTTCAAATTTCGAATATGGATACGTGAGTATGTCTTTCAATTTTCAATTTTTTTATTAATTCAAGATGTAATTTTAAATAAATCAAAATCAATTGTTTACAAAGAAGAATTTATTTTACAATTAAAAATATCAAAGGGGATAACACGAATAAATAAAATTTTGAAATTTAATTTTCAATTATGGAAGTTAATTACTAAATGTTATATAAAATAGAAAATGAGGGACTTGATTGCAATTTGTACATTTTCATTTTATATACAAACAGAAGGGAGAAATGGGAAAGAAGAAGAGGGGGAAAAAAGCAAGAAGAAAAAGAAGGGAGAAAGGAAGAAGAAGACCTAGGTGGAAACCTAGCACTGACCCTCTTGGCTCCTCTTGGAGGCGACCATAGGTGGAAAACCAACCACCACCGCCTTTACTTGAAGCTTTGCACCAACCCAACTCTGGATCCAATAGTTGCTGCACATCGCCGTACCCGGTTCAAAAGCATCGTGTCCACCCCATATTTCATACCCGTACCTGCATTGTGTCTTCTCGGCATGGGTATGCAGACCAGAAAGGAGAGTCCGAGCATCACAGTCTAGGTGTCTATCCTAAGAAGAAATGACTTCTCCATATTTATTACAGACCCTTGGATCACTAATTAAATTAACCTACGGTCAAGATTAATAATCATTTCCATGTTAAATATTAACAAACTAATTTCCTCTTATATTATTTTGGAAATTATTGCAATAATTTTTATTATTAGTATTTCATGAAGCTAATATATGAAAACGGTAGATTTCATTAAGAATGGTCGAACCTTATTCATGGCTGCCATAGCTTTACTTGCACCTTTCATACCAACAGCAACAGAAGATTGGGCAGATATCGCCTGCAAACAAAGTAAGAATAAAAATAAAAAGTAACAGTTAACTCCCACATACCGACATGAACTAAGACAACTGAAGTTACAAAAG